AAAAAAAAAAAAAAAAAAAAAAAAAAAAAAAAAAAAAAAAAAAAAAAAAAAAAAAAAAAAAAAAAAAAAAAAAAAAAAAAAAAAAAAAAAAAAAAAAAAAAAAAAAAAAAAAAAAAAAAAAAAAAAAAAAAAAAAAAAAAAAAAAAAAAAAAAAAAAAAAAAAAAAAAAAAAAAAAAAAAAAAAAAAAAAAAAAAAAAAAAAAAAAAAAAAAAAAAAAAAAAAAAAAAAAAAAAAAAAAAAAAAAAAAAAAAAAAAAAAAAAAAAAAAAAAAAAAAAAAAAAAAAAAAAAAAAAAAAAAAAAAAAAAAAAAAAAAAAAAAAAAAAAAAAAAAAAAAAAAAAAAAAAAAAAAAAAAAAAAAAAAAAAAAAAAAAAAAAAAAAAAAAAAAAAAAAAAAAAAAAAAAAAAAAAAAAAAAAAAAAAAAAAAAAAAAAAAAAAAAAAAAAAAAAAAAAAAAAAAAAAAAAAAAAAAAAAAAAAAAAAAAAAAAAAAAAAAAAAAAAAAAAAAAAAAAAAAAAAAAAAAAAAAAAAAAAAAAAAAAAAAAAAAAAAAAAAAAAAAAAAAAAAAAAAAAAAAAAAAAAAAAAAAAAAAAAAAAAAAAAAAAAAAAAAAAAAAAAAAAAAAAAAAAAAAAAAAAAAAAAAAAAAAAAAAAAAAAAAAAAAAAAAAAAAAAAAAAAAAAAAAAAAAAAAAAAAAAAAAAAAAAAAAAAAAAAAAAAAAAAAAAAAAAAAAAAAAAAAAAAAAAAAAAAAAAAAAAAAAAAAAAAAAAAAAAAAAAAAAAAAAAAAAAAAAAAAAAAAAAAAAAAAAAAAAAAAAAAAAAAAAAAAAAAAAAAAAAAAAAAAAAAAAAAAAAAAAAAAAAAAAAAAAAAAAAAAAAAAAAAAAAAAAAAAAAAAAAAAAAAAAAAAAAAAAAAAAAAAAAAAAAAAAAAAAAAAAAAAAAAAAAAAAAAAAAAAAAAAAAAAAAAAAAAAAAAAAAAAAAAAAAAAAAAAAAAAAAAAAAAAAAAAAAAAAAAAAAAAAAAAAAAAAAAAAAAAAAAAAAAAAAAAAAAAAAAAAAAAAAAAAAAAAAAAAAAAAAAAAAAAAAAAAAAAAAAAAAAAAAAAAAAAAAAAAAAAAAAAAAAAAAAAAAAAAAAAAAAAAAAAAAAAAAAAAAAAAAAAAAAAAAAAAAAAAAAAAAAAAAAAAAAAAAAAAAAAAAAAAAAAAAAAAAAAAAAAAAAAAANTTTTTTTTTTTTTTTCAGGCTTAGGCCTTATATATATATAGGACATTTTTACAACTGACCCAATAATATACAGCTGTTACTTTGTTAGCTAAACAAGTATATATAATAGTATTTTTTTTTTCTGTTATTGTTGTGTACGTGTCGGAAACTGACCTAATCTATACTAGTTTTTGTACACGAGTTTATTCTATATAACACATGAAATTTAGTTTGTTTTTTTTATATTTTTCTGTATAGGTATTACATACCGTTGATGATCACAAGTTGTTTCGTACTACCAACAGTTATTCCTTCATGGTTATGGGGGGAGACTGTATGGAATGCTTTCTATGTAGCCACTGTTTTCAGATATTGCTTTACGTTGAATAACACGTGGCTGGTAAATAGTGCGGCACATATGTGGGGCAATCGACCATATGACATCAATATCAATCCAAGAGAGAATCGATTAGTGTCTTTAGCAGCCATAGGAGAAGGTTTCCATAATTATCATCATACCTTTCCTTGGGATTACTCGACTAGCGAATTAGGGTGGAAAATAAATCTTACTACAATGTTTATCGACACTATGGCATATTTAGGACTGGCTTACGATCGTAAAACAGTACCAAAAGATATGGTTCTGAAGAGAAAAGATAGAACAGGAGAGAATTCATGGTATAATAATAATAAAATTCAAAAATAATCACGTATACATAAGAAGTTTTGGCGCACATTTAATGTAACAGACAGATGCTGTGATAAAAGATGAATGTTGTATACTTTATACATTCCGTTATAGTTATGTATGCAAAAAAAAAATATAACCAAAAATCTCTATTATATGAAATTTTTTTGTATAGTTTCTAATCGAAATTTCAATGAATTTAATGTATAACTTACATAATATGTACGTTTCTTCTTAAAGTGACAAAAAAATAATGTCATAAGCATCGAGTCTCACTCTTTCAATTAAAAATACTAAATATAGAAATATTTTTAATTATAATTTAAAAAGAAAAAGAGTGATGTCGTCATGTGTATAAAAATTTATTTTTTTGATATGAATTAAAGTTTAATGAACAAATATATGAATTTTTTATTGTATTATATCTCTACGAAAAGCTAAGGAGGGGGGGGAAATGCATTTTTAGATTAACGTATATTTATTTTAAAAATGAGAAAAAAATATTGACATTTTTAAGTTATTTTTAGGTAAATTTTTTATAGGGTAATTTTCTTGGGAGGGGAAGAAAAAAAAATTTTTTTTTTTTTTTGGTTCTTTTATGATTGTCATTGGGTGTGGTAAAGATATTTAAAAATCTGATATTGATCTTAATAACCGGTGAAGATGATATCCTTTTACGCTTAATTAGAATAAATCCTTGAATTTAAATAATAAAATAAAAAGAAAAACGTCACTCGAATATGTTGAAATATTAAAAAATGTTTTCGCTGAATAAACAATACTATTAGATACGTGACGAAATCTTTGTTGAAAGCCAAACTTTTTGCATAATTTTAAGCTTAAACTAATTTCTCAGACAATTTTAAATGTGTGAAAGATATTTGATGATGCAATTACGTTGTAAATTAAAGCATATTAATGTTTAAATGTTAATTAAACGACGTACCTCTTTAGAAATTTTGTATTTGTAATATCTTCTGTTATTGTTTTAGTCGAATATAGGCTATATATTTTTATACGTATGCAGTAATATTATAAAGTTATATTTTACTCAGCTTAAAATACACACATGTAAAGCAATAGATTCGAATTTTCGACTAATAAGGTCTCTTATTAATGCTTAAGGGTGGAGAGAGTAAATTGAACTTATGCAAGTGTTTTATTTCTTCATGAAGAACACTCCTTTCTTTAAGAAATGAATAAATTTAATTTGAATACATAAATTTTTCTTGTTTTGAATTTGAATTTTATTTTTCGAATAAACAAGAATAAGTTAGACTATATGTTAGTCAAAATAATTTTAGCTGTATTTATCAAATGAGCATATACATATATGAAAAATTATCTGGTTATTAAAAACATTTATTGTATTAATTGCATAAGTTTGATTATGTCTCAATTAGCTCCTATTGTTAAGTATTATATTTAGTGAGTTTTATATATTTTTATATAAAAAATATTTAATGTTGTTTTATATATTAAAATTAAAGCAAACTTTTTCAACTAAAATATATTAATTATATATGAAAATAATTTGTGATCTTTTAAAATATTTAAAATAATTTCAGTTTTTAGCATTAAATTATGATGATTTATGTTTAAATATTTAAAATGTATTCAGTAAATTTTCAAAGATAATAGAATAAATTAAGATATAACATTTTATTTATTTTTCGTTTTTGAATATTTTAAATATGCCTGTCTTTTTAAAGTCTATTATTTAAAACACTCAAACATAAAAGTGCCTTCACATTTCGTTCTCCTTCTTCACTCTTTAGGAATACAAGCTCATACGACGGAGTCGGTCTTTATCTTGAGGCGAAGGTGACCTTTTGTTTATTTGATTATATTTTTATTTTATATTTGAGTGTTTCGTATAAATTCGTGAATTTAAGTAATATTTAGCGTCCTAAATTTTTTTATGAATTATCTGTTATTTAAATTTTCCTTTTTGTTTAATATTTACTCATTATTTATTTTAGTTTTAATCAAAATAATTTTTTTTTAAGAATAACTAATTAGAATCGGTAGTGTAGCCTATGATTTATGATAAAGTTATAAAATTAAACAAGTATGAAAAGAATTGAAATTCATTTTTGGATATTATGTAATGTTACTTTCGTATTTTAGATAAAAATAAAATAAATTTAACTAATTATTACTTATCCTAATAGTAGTGGATAGATGCGACACACCCACACATATAATGAAGCGTATGTAGGTCTTTCCAGATTTAAATTTAAAGCTTCAGATTGAGTTTCTTCAAAAAAAACATTTTCCCCCCCTCTAAAAATATTGGGTTAAAATTAATGCAGGTTCACACTCAATGCATTGTATTTAGTTGCACGTAAGACACACTTACGTAATTATATGAAAAGGAAAAAAAAAACATTTAAAAATTTCTTTCTTATATTAAACATTACATTTTATATAGGTTAATTATCGTGATTAAGATCGAATTCATAAATATAAAAATGGCTTGATAAAATTATTGCTTGTATGTGAATATAATTTGCATTTAGATTGTTACGAATTGCTGTTTTCTGTTTAAAATTTTGCATTGTTTTGCAAAAAAAAAAAAAAAAAAAAAAAAAAAAAAAAAAAAAAAAAAAAAAAAAAAAAAAAAAAAAAAAAAAAAAAAAAAAAAAAAAAAAAAAAAAAAAAAAAAAAAAAAAAAAANTAGAGATTCTATAATTTTAATCTTTATTTCAAATTCCAACATTTTAAAACAATAATTCTTTTAAAAATCTATTTATTTCTCTCTTCACAAGATGATTGAAAAGCTTAAAAGATGTTTCTGTATACTTTAGATAGTCATAAAAAGGAGAATGTATATTATGTCATTTAAATTACTGAAAATTTTATTTCACTAAATATTTAATATCGCACTAATAGACATCCACTTTCACAAATTATGTAAATAATTCTATTACAGATACTTCCTGCATATTAATTCTGTTATACCATTCATTGCAACCTTATCACAGAAAATACAAATTGTTCTACATTGCATCTATGATCTGAAAATTGCATTTTATCTCTTCCAAATATAATTTTTGCTAAGAGATTGTATCTATGATGTTATAAATTAAGTTAAATAAGTTATAATTTATAATATAATAATCATCTATAAAATAACAAAAAAAGTATACTTACCAAATATACTTAGAAAAATGGGGAGAAAAATGAGCCCGTGAGAAGCGCCGATCAACACTATTCCCAGATACATCCGAAAGTAAAAAATTTTAAAAATTTGTGACTTAGCAAAATAGAGAACGATAATGCCTCCAAATTTAGTCAAAGTTATTCCAGACAACACCTAGTAATATAAAACAAAATGTTAAATTACGTATATTATATGTCTGAAATCAACATATTGCATTAATCGAAAGCAGACTAAGTTTTCAATTTTTAAGAAAACTTTGTTGAGTTCATTGATAAATTATTTGTTTGAATATCATTTGTCAAACAAACAAAGCTTTAACTTAATCTTAAATATTTAATAAAAAATTTTATAATTATAGCAGTTATATAATTTAGGTATTCGAGCTGCGACGGCCGATCTAAAATCGGTGGTTTGCAACCTTTTCAATCTAACACCATAAAATTTTTGGTGAGATACCCCAATCAGTCAGTGTCACAAATCATCCTTGTGTATGTAAATAAAATGTGACACTGAAGATCTGGAGTTTATTAGCATTTTAAAATAATTTTTTTTTAATTTTATAGTACATCTATGAAGTTTGTGGCATGCCAATTGGAAACCACTGAGATAGATCGCTACTATATCACTAAATCTGTGGTTCCCAATGTGGGCACACGTCTCGCAGGGGAGCAATTTGACTTTTTGAGAATGGGTTATTATTAACGGTGAATTTGAAAGCCTGCCAATGTGAGAATTTGTTCTTATATATTATTCATAAATTTGGCAAAGAATGTTTTTTTAAATTTCTCTCTTTCCGTGCCACCATCTTCTTAATGTCTTTTCTTTTAAGATAACAATGGTAAGGAGTAAAGGTTATTTCAAGCAAGTTAAGTGGCTTGATTTTACATTGATAAGTCTGGTGATCTTAGAATAAAGTAAAAATGTATTTAGTGTTCACACAGTTATTATTGAAGGGCCTTGATACATAAATTTATGTACTTATAACTGCTCTAAATACTTTTGATAAAGTAAATGTCAAACAAATAGCAAGCTTACTAGTACCACAAAAGCATAAATATATTTTTCATGTTAAATTTCTAGAATACAAGTATACTAAAGAATAAGCATTTTGCTATAACTATAAACTTCTTTTTGGCACAAATAGTAAAAATCGCCTTATACCACAATTTATGGTAAAGTGAATGTAATAACTGTGAATAATTAAATAATCAACAAATCCATTCATACGTTTCTTCAACGACAATATGTTTACCGTTTGTTCTCTCGACGAAAAGAATTTACCATTTTAAATGTTTTGCATGCACATATCCGAAGAGTGAGTGCCAGTGTTAAACGAAAAATTTTACCGACAAATAGTCAATTATAAAATATTGTCAGTAAAGCCAGGAACTAAAGGAAATTTTAGAATATTTTTCTATAAATTAGATTTCATTTTCAAATAAATACTTCGGCAAAAATATTTATATGGGAGAGCAAAAAAACATCTATCTAGTATTGAAATGTAAAATATAATTTCATTAGTAGTGCACTACAACAAATTTAAGTTAAAAATATATTTTACTGTTAAGTTTACTCACCGAACTTCCCATCTCTGCTAGTGCACTTTCTGCTCTTGCTTTTTTTGACCCTTCGTTACTGACGGCATATGCCCGAACAATGTGAGAACAAAATTCTACTGAGATTCCAATGGCCTATAAATAAGAATTGTAATTTTAGTTGTAAATTTTTAAGTTATGGTAAAATAAATTTAAAATAGTATAAAATGTAATTAATTTGTTAGATATTCTATGTTAAGTAATATCAGGTTATGTTTTATTGTTATGTTATATATAAAATAAACAAAAATACAGACATAGAAAATAATNTATAATGGTTAAATAGATGCCATATAATCAATCCAATTGTCAGAAGTTAGTAAAATAAATTTTAGGAAATACAGAAACTTTTCCTTTTTATAAATTTACGACTTAGATGATATATAAAACTGGAAGAAAATTCGAATTACTGTTTGTGTATGCGAAGTATATTTGGATGTTAAATATTAACAACTAGGAAAATAGAATTTTTATGTTCTCATATCTAATATTTATAATATATAGCAACGTTCAGAAAGAATGTTCACTGTTTGGAATTAGTTTAATGTTATACGTGCTTTTTTTCTTTTTGGAAAAAATAACCAAATCGTTCTCCAGTGAAACAGAATAAAAACTTATTTTTAGTTTGTTTTTTTTTTTTGTTTTTAAAATTCCAATTATTCAATGCTTTTATATATTTTCAATCTGTAAATTTATTTATTTTTCAAATAAAAGGCGTATGCTTTGAGTATGTATATAAATACAATATTAAAAAATTTTAAAAATAGAACATGATTAGAATAATTATCATTGTTTATCATGAATATATTTATTTATTAATTACCTATATATAGGCCTATATATTCCCCTTTAAAATATGAACATAAACAATTACTTGTATATATAGAACTATTTATTGAAAGTATTTTACCTTGTTTTCGTGTATGTATATATGTATGTGTTTATATATATATATATATATATATATATATATACACACACACGCGCGTACACATACACATAAACACAAACATACACGATATATTTTTACTTTTATTTAAACAAATTCGATAAAACAAATAACAATTTTTTTTAATCTAAAAAGAATATGAATAGTTATTTATCACATTCACTCTTCTAAATATAAACTAAAGTATTAATTTAGAAATTCTAAATATTTTTTTCTCTAATTTCATTTGACCTAGTGACCCTATTCACCTCCGACCTCCTACCTTTGGCGTGTGTGCGTGTGTGTGTGTCTGTATATATACTTTTATCGTCTCATAACCTCCCCTATCCATCGATAATAGACTCGCCCACACACTCCGCCATCTTGTACAGTCTCCTATCACAGATAAGGAAAGAGTGCGTCATAGCAACGCCACTTACACAACAAACGTTTGGGTTAGTAAAATGTAGAGATAAACTGCAGCGGTTAGAGAACAGTAGAAACAACTGGTCAATTCACATTTGACGCTTCGTACCTTACATATTCATTCGAATAAGATTAAGAAGGTAGTGCGGACGGATACGTAATCAGTTAACGTGCGGCATCCTCTCCTGTGCGGGGAGGGCATCGGATTTCCCATCTAGCTAAGCTGTCGGATAATTATTTCTCTTGTGTTTTATCTTCATCACAATAGATTTATCTGACGTTTAAGGATATCAATATTTGGAGTACAGTGTTAAGTTATCGAAACTGAAGCCGAAACATGGGCAATGCCGCTACGGCGAAGAAAGGAGACCCCGCCGAAAACGGTAAATAAACCCCTTCTCCAACTTATCCTCTTCTATAATTTCTCTTAAATAATATTTTTATATTCATAGAAAGCATTTGTAAGCTAATTATTTTCTGGAGCAATCCAAAATAATCTTCGATACTGTTATTCTACATTTCTAAAAGAAATCGGACATTTTTACAATGTACAACGTATTGTTACAATGTACAATGTATTGAATTTAAGTGATTGAATGATATTAATATTTTATAAAAGATCACTTACTTATTATTTATAAACAGAACAAAATATCTTTCCTACTTACCATTACCAAGTTGACTAATGAGACGGCATTCAATGATATGTTCCACCAAAACATCATACCCATGAGATTTAGTAAAATCATAAAAATTGTGATTATTACTGTTAAAGCTGAATAAATATCCAATCCGAGAAGAATGAAAGTGACTATAAATATATCTATCATAGATATCGCTAAATTCTGTATCGTGTCTTTCCACATGGTAAGGTATTGTTCGTAAAATACGTGAAATATGCTATTAAAAAACAAATAAATGAAAATAAAGGTTATATTTAATTATTTAAAATTAAAATTTTGTCAATTACTATTCAAAACTACCATATTTTTGTGCAGATTACCCACAGGTTACCTGTGTTTAAAAGAGAATTTGAAAGGGGATACTGCTTATAGGCCAATTTCAAACACAGACGTATGAAACAACAATTGCTTCTGAAGATGTGGGGAATATGGCAGTACAGGTTATATGAGGGTTTTATTCATTCTAGCAATTTTCTGAAGGGTATATATGCCATCACAGGTTACACACACACACAAAAATATGAAAAGTTTTAAATGTTATAGCTTAAACTTTTGAATTATAATGAATACTTTCTGACTATCAGTTGGCAGAGATAACTAGAGTGTGGAATTTACCACTGTAAGCAACTCTAATTAAAATCCAGGCCAGAGCCTTGAATTTTCACAAACAGTCTGGCCCAGATATGTTAAGACTCGTCTCTTGCTAACCAACCAGCCCATCACATGACTTATCAAATTCACGAAGAACACAAACAAAGATCCTTTTAATGTCAACAAGAGAATACAGACTTGATTTATGTTTTCTAGTTATGGTTTGTTGTTATAACAACTAAAAATAGAAATCACAGGCAAACTGTACGCCTTGCACCGTAAAGCATAAAAATAACCTTTAATTTCTAGCCATTATAATGCAAAAGTAGCCTGTAATTTCTGGCTATTAAATAAAACATTTAATAGTCAGAAATTCATTTATAAATTTATTTTGAAATCTATACATTCATTTATAGATTTCATACTAAATTGATTTGGAATTTTAGTTAATTATTAAAAATATTTTTAAAATCTTATAAAATTGATACTTTGTGTTATTCTTTAACATAGTCTAATGAAATTCTACAAATCAATAATGTGTAAAATTCATTTCATAATTATAAATTCGAACTCTGATTAAATTATTCTGTACAGATAGATAAATTCAAACCCACTCTAATAAATGAACACAAAGTCAAACAAAAAAATGATGCTTGTTAGAAAGTGCTCATTAATAGTTGTTCGAGTTCGTACAGTACAGATTACGTTTCATATAAACACACGAATTGCCTATTGAATGTATCTTGATTGAAACTCTGCATTGGAATAATAATTTTGTCATTTATTAGTGAAGCAGGAAGTTTTTCTACGCTACAGAATACTTCTGCCCATTCTTCAGGTTAACCAAGAAGAAAAAGCAGTGCTTGGAAAAGTAAGCAGTTAACTTCTTTACTAATTCATTCATAAACAATGATGATAATTGCAAGCAATAGTGGCAATGTTGTTATTATAGCATTCATTTTTTCATGTGAAAGCTAAACTAGCACTAATTATTGGATACCCGATGATGAATAATGTAACTTAAATTTAAAAATCTTCTTACATGAATACTGGAAAGCATATAAATTAACACTCCTAAACCTTAAAAGTCCAGTAGTAAATACTTAATAGCAAACAAACGTTTTCAACCGTACTTTCGGTCGGAGTGTTAACTGATGAATAATGTTTTGGTTGATCATTTCTTTGTATTCTTTTACACTCTTCCCAACTAATTTGTGTTCACATTTGCTCATTAAAGTATGCTTGCAAATATTCATTCATTCATTAGGTATAAATACTTTAATATTCAGATTAAGCAACAGGTTTATGGTGTTCCAGACCATGTTAGAAATATTCCTGCAAACTCCGAATGAAAAATATGGCATTAAATATTCGTTATAGACAGACCCGACCCCGACCCACGTTCCAACCTGTACTATTGATGACAAATTATTAGAATATAGATTAAATATGAACTTAATCTTCTATAATAACATACTGGTATCTTCATTATCTGTCTATGTAAACAAAATAATTATATATAATTATATATAATTATTTAATATATAATTATATATGATTNTGTAGATACTGTACAGTACATATATACGTGTGTATTATATATGTACTGTACCGTACAGTACATATATACTGTATATATATATATACATGTGTACTCTTCTTAGTTTACCGCATGCTAGTCACTTTGCGCTATTTAAATAGTTAAAAATGGCGTTATTGATTATATACGTAACTAATAAACATATTGGAGTAATTATGTGTGTTTAAATGCTTCGGTTGATTTACATATGTACTGCTTAATCGCTTAAGTTGTCTGTAAGATGGATCAAAGGATCCGCCATTTTGGGTTCTGCACTCCAATGATGAGTTACGCTAATTGGTCGAAATTACTAACCATTGTTACGTCATAAATAACTAATTCATCTAATTATTATTATTATTGTTATTATGAAATTTAAAAAGTGTCATTGTACAGTTAATATTTCTATACTTTTTTTTTTAGTTTGGCATTATAATTAATTATTCTAAAGTCTAAATCACACTTACTATTAAAACTTATTATTATTGATTTTAAATCTAAGAGATGCTTTTATGTAGTTTTTTTTTTAAATATAAATATACGAAACTGGTTATAATCTGATGGAATGAGGTTTTTTTAAATTCATACAAAGTATTGAGTTGTTTTTTTATGAAAGGATTTTCTTGTTTTGATAACGAAAATTAGTTGATAATCTGATGCTGTTCTACTGATCTTATCTTTGAGTGACTTGATAATGTTGTTTTTCTTTGTAGATAAACATAATGTTAAAATTATAAACAGTTACTACTTTCTCTTTTGTTCAAAAATTTAATCTATTTATAATTGATTTTTTTATAATTTTATATTTTAGAGGTTTTAAAGGTATTTTTTCTAAATTTGCAATGCTATAGAAATTCTTTATGTATAATAAAACACTTCTACAAGATTTCAAATTTAAATCGCCGTACGAAGGTCGTACATTATTTGATTAACATGGTTTGTTAGATGAATATAACTGGATAGCTATTCAAAGTTAATTATATTTTATTTTTATAAGTAAATATTTTTATATTATGCCATACAACTACACTACAATAGAAATCTTCTATTTCCTAGTTTGTAAATAATTAATTTTTTTCAAATTTGTTAATTTTGAATAAATGAGTTTAATTTCTATGATGATTTGAAAGAGAATGGTTTTTGTAAAATATTCATTTAACTTTTGATGTTGTTGGGCAAGCTGTAATAAATGTTTAAAGATTTTTCTTTGCTATGATGCTTTTATTCTATGTAATTATAATTAGATGAGAAAATCAGTTTTATCATATATAGTATTGACAATTATTACTAGTTTCCTAATAGCAGTCAATATTCCTGCTGTTGGTTTGATTCATGAAAGATGGTGAATTCATACTACATTGTAAAACTAATTGCATTGTGATATTCTAAGAACATGCAGTATAAATGAATTATATTTAATTTATGTTAATTATGAGTTAAATCAAGTAGGTTATCTTTTGTCTTATAAAATTACATATTTTTTAAAAAATTTGTAGTACTTTAATGATTTATAATTAAACAACTTTATTATATTCTTCTTTGTGTAAAGTAAAATACAGTAATACCTCGACTTACACTACCCTGACTTACGCGAACCCAGAGTTATGCGATTTTCAAATCTCGTTGATTTGTCTTGTTTGAGTGCGCCACGCAACTCTTGATTACTCACTTCCCCCACACTATTGTTCAGCTTACATGTTTGGACGTGTCGCATGGAATTGACACACAGCTACAATTTATTTTGTGTTATTTATTTCTGTGTTTGTTATATCTACAGATACTTGAGAGAGACTATGTGGTGATTTCTTGTAACCGTGAACTCGTTAATCTTATTTCGTTTTTTGATTCAAAACACAAGATAAGATTAACGAGAACATTTATTAGCTTACATACACTTGATATGGATTTTACACAAATTGCGAAAGTATACCCCGACTTACGCGGTTATCGCTTGGTCCCACCTATCGTGTAAGTTCGGGATATTACTGTATATAGTTTACTTGCTGCTATATTGAATATTTTGGTTTTAATCCACTTTATATTTGTATAAAAAATTCTAGTTGTATTGCATGTTATAAACTTGAAGCTATAATATAAAATTTTTTTGTTGTTAAGATGCTTTGTTTTAAATAACTAAAATAGCTTTTAATAAGAACAGTACTAAATTATTTCTATCTGCAGTTAACTAGTGTTTGGGTAATTGAGATTTTCTGACTATTTTTAATTCTTCTAGAAAAGAAAAATATGTTTTAGAGTTTGATTGTGGAAGATTAGCTTAAGAATTTATTATTTAGGGTAAATCTCTGCTTTGGATAAGATAACTATAGACTACATACATTATAGTTTATAAAACACCTTTTAAAGATATATTCTTTGTATAGGCCAATCCAAAAATATTTATTAAGATTACGTTAAATTCCATGTCAAACAGTTTACATTAATGTAACATTTCATAAAAAGAAAATTTTATTTTATAGAGTTGTAAAAATTGTACTCCTAGAACCTATTTCCGGTGTGACAAAAAATTATTGTTGATAAAGAATTGTATTACTAATGTAGAAGACAGTATTATATAAAAATTATGGAACAATGAATCAAGATGATCTAGAGCAGTGTTTCTCAACGGGGGCAATATCGCCCCCATGTGGGCATTTTTCCATGTTGAGGGGGTGATTAGTAACAGTTTATATTTTGGAGGGCAAAAAAACAATTTTCTGGGCAATATAGTAAAACATTATATTAAGAATAATTAGATATTTTATTTGTTATATTATACAATAATTAAACAAATAACATTATACTAGTCACTAGTCTATTCAATGCAGTACGAATTTGGCATTAGCCTTGTCCCTCAGCATTGGAATTTTGTAGTGAAGGGGGCGATATTACGTAACGGTTTTAGTGAAGGGGCAATAGTACATTGAAGGTGGTGACGATTTGTTAGAGGTTCAGAAACACTGATCTAGAGTAAGGAGGATTCAGTTTGTGGTAATAATGAAAGCACGTGATTCCTTTTGTTTTTAATTGATTATTTTCTTTAATGTTTTGATTGCAAAAGGGGTGATGCA